CCCCCCCCCGCTGCCCTCTCCAGGGGAAGGCCCCCGCTGCCCTCAGTCCACTGGCATTCTGCTTGTGCTCTTGTGAATATGGAGTTCCAAGTCCCCCAAACCTGGACCTGTATCCCAGCCAGCCAAGGAGCCTTGGGTGGGGTGGGGGGAAACGTCCCTGCCTTGGCATTGATGGGTTTTTAAAGCCCCCTTCGTAGAGCAGGTGGAGGATGAAGGTGTGCTTCAAGCTAAGCCTGGTCATGGGGCCACCTGTTGGCTTTGTGCCAGGGGCCACCCCTATGGGGCTGAGCTTTCTAAGGGCTGTCTCCTTGGCACCCAGCTCAGTGCGCTGCTGTCAGACAGGCTTGTCCTCAGGCTGCTTCTTGCTGTGTGATCTTGGGCTGAGCCTGTGGCTCCTGCATGAAACAGGGATGAATAATTGATTCTTCATGTTGGAAATACTGCAAATCAAGAAAAAGGCAGGAGTCCCAACTAGAAAAATAATAAAGGCTTTGAACAGGCTATCAACAAAGGATGGAATTAAAAAAGCAAATCAGCATAAGAAGTAAAAAAAAACCCAAGAAATGCAAATGAAAGATAGAACTTCATACACAGTGGACTGCGGTCCTGGGCCAAGCTAAGTACTGACTGACCCTGTAACCCAGCAACTCTGCTCCTGGTCGTAGCCTAAGGTCATAGGAGGACATGTACACAGATGGAGCTGAGAGTGGGCAGAGGCAGCAAATGCGGCTGTTCTGCTGTCCTCAGCTGAGTACAAATGCACTGGCTTGAGCACGCAACAGTTATTCACTTTGTGAATCTTCCATTTGTGCAGGGCCCAGTGGGGACAGCTTGTCTGTCCCCCCCACACACACACACACATACACACATCAGCTAGCTCAGCTTCCAGAGTGTGGTGACACGATGTCCAGGGGTTGGAATCCTCTGGACTTTTGTCCACGTGTTTGCAGTGGGTGCTTGTCAGTTAGGACCTCTGGGCTAGCAGGTGGATTACGTGAGACCTGTCTCAGCTTCCTGTGGCATCTGTCACAAAGGGCCACCAACTGGGAGGCTTGAAACAACAGAAATGTCCTCAGAGTTCTGCAGGCAGGAAGCCAGAAATCAAGGTGCTGATAGTGTCGTGCTCCCGCGAAACGCTAGAACATAATCTTGTGCCTTTTCCAGCTTATGGGACCCCTTCTATCCTTGGCTCGTAGCTGCATCACTGCAGTCTTGGTCATCATACGCCTTCTCCCCTGTGTGTCTGTGTCTGAGCTTTCCTCTTATAAGGACACCAGTCACACTGGACTTGGGGCCACCCTATCCAGTATGACTTCATGCTCACTTGATCACATCTACAAAGACTTTATTTCCAAATAAGCTAACATTCCCAGGTTTCAGGTGGACATGAATTCTGGGGACATTTGCTCAGCCCAGTGCAAGGCCTCTCCATGTGGCTTCTAACTTCCTGACAGTATGGTGGCTAGTTTCCAAGACTGAGCATCTCAAGATAACAAGGAACTTTGACTTAACCTGGGAAGCTACTCGATGTCACTTCCATTCTATGGGTGGAGACAGGTGCAAAGACCCACCCAGGTTCAAGGTCACACTGAGGAAAAGCCATGACCCTGGGGCACAGACAGCAACGGAATGGATGCCACACTATTGAGTGCAGGACAGGTACAGAGCAGAGCACCATCCACACAGACTTGAAAATAACACACACAATTCTGCACACGCAACAGGAACGTGTACGGAGGGTGCACGTAGACGCACAATCCTGCAGTCGGCAGGAAGGTACCTCATCCCACCTCAAAGACCCACCCCTGTGATGCTCTCAGGGACGGGCGACTGAGAGCTACACGAGTCCAGGAAGCGAAGCCCAAGGGAACAGACCTCGAGGTCGCCTCGCCAACACTGAGGCGTTTAGTTTAATCCACGACCAAACGCAATCCTTGCGCCCACCTTGACGCTGGCCCCTCCCTACCAGAAGGTGGCTCCGCCCCACCCTTAATCGGACAATCCCCATAGGACACCTGAAGGGCCCCGCCCCGCCAGAGGGTAGCCCCGCCCCACCAGGAGGTGACCCCGCCCCGCGTCCCGGCTTCTAGCCGGGCGGAACCACCAGGAGCTTCGGCTCCTGCTTCCCCGGTGGCCTGGCGCTCCCGAGACGGCGGGGCGCGGCCGCTCCGAGCCTCGGTGGCCGCCTCGGTGGGAGGGGCTGCTGGGACACAGCCATTCACCGAGCGCCCACTGTGTGTCCGCGGTATTAGCCGTGAACAGCACCGGCGCCGCGGGGACAGGTGCATCGCGCGGGTGCGCGGCAGGACAGGACCGCTGAGATGCTCCCTGGCCGTCACCGGGCCCCACCCCTCGGGAACTTGCGCGGCCACGCCTTCGGGCAGGCTCGCGTTCGCCGAGGGGCCGGTGTCCGGTGCAAGCCCCGCCCCTTGCGTCACGGCCAAGGCCGATGGGCGGAGCCGGCTCACGGCGGAAGCGTCCTGCTGAGGAAGAGGCCGGAGTAGAGTTGGGCGCTTAGGGACCGCTGGGGACAGACAGGTAGTGGGGTCGCCCGTGGGGCTCACAGAACGATTTGGAGGGTGAGGGGGTCTCTGTTCGGGACGGGGTCCTCAGCTAGCGGGGCGGGTCTCTAGGAAAGGGGGTTGCTGTAGATACGGGGTGGGGGCGCTCAGCTGGAATCACAGGGTTGACAGGCTGGAGGAGGACCTGTGGCTGCTGAGTGGGGGCTCTGCGGGCGCGCATCTGGTGGGGAGGGGTCTCTGGTTCCTAAAACCCTACCCCCACCCCCGCCAGGATGGGCAGCAGCTCTCTGTCCGAGGACTACCGCCTGTGCCTGGAGCGCGAGTTGCGGCGCGGCCGCGCGGGCGTGTGCGGGGACCCGTCGCTGCGCGCCGTGCTCTGGCAGATCCTGGTGGAAGACTTCGACCTGCACGGGGCGCTGCAGGACGACGCGCTGGCGCTGCTCACTGACGGCCTGTGGGGCCGCGCCGACCTGGCCCCCGCGCTGCGCGGCCTGGCCCGAGCCTTCGAGCTGCTGGAGCTGGCCGCCGTGCACCTGTACCTGTTGCCCTGGAGGAAGGAGTTCACCACCATCAAGGTAAGGTGTGGGCCGCGGGGGGGCTCCCCGGCCCGGGCGTCGGGGATGGGGGGCCAGCCCGGTGGGTCTCAGGGCTGTGTTGGGGCAGTTTGGGGTTCGAGAACATGGGGTGGGTGGAGGACAGCCCCTCCCCGGTACCTGCCTCTTGCCCCTTAAAGCTTGCATCACTGTGCTCCCCAAAGTGGCCTCGAGGCCTCAGTTGCCGTAAAAATCACAGAACAGGTGCTCGAGAGGGACTTGAAGCCCTGATCCCACCTCCAGAGGATGCTAGGTGGGCGTACCCCTATGAAGCAGGCAGAGGCTGGGGGGGCCAGGGTGGGCACGAACCAAGTTCACCTCTCGCCCTGGTACAGAGGTTGTGCCCAGGGCTGCCAGACCCCTCTAGGTAAGTGGGGGGGGGGGCAGCAGGAGGGGGCAGGACGCCTAGCTTCCGAGCTAATTTGGAAGAGGGGAAAATGATGTCACTGGGCACGTGGGCGAGCTGCCTCCACCAGTTGCCATGGCAGCGGTAGCCTCTCTGGGGAGGTGAGCTCTGGAGCCTGGGATACTGGAGGACAGCTACTGGTCCGAGGTTCTAGGGCTTTCATTCATCCATGTAGACAAGAGGGCAAGGGGCAGAAAGCAGAACGCAGGTCTGTCCTTGGGCGCTTCTGGGCTTTGGTGGGGGGCTGACCTGCATGGGGTCTGGCTCTGCCTCCTCCTGGCTGTGTGGCTTTCAGCAAGTTCCCTAATCTTTCTGAACCCATTTCCTTCCCTGCCAAAAGGACCCAAGAACAGTCCAGTTTAAGGTCCGTTGTGGAGGGAAGGCAAAGCCCTGAGTCCAGTGCTTGCACACAGCAGTGCTGTCTGGGCAGCGTGGGGGGTGCTGTCCTAAGCAGAACACTCAAGGGTCCCCAGGCTCATGGAATGTTAGAGTTGGGACAGACACACCGTCGTCATTCTAATTACTCTTCTAGTTCCTCACATAACTGTGCAGTCTAGAAACCATTTACCAGCTGTTATTCCAGGGCTCTCAGCCCAGGTGCACATGAGAGCCTCCAAAATGCAGCTGTTTTGTCCACATGCTGGAAGCTACCCAGCTGGAAAGAGTGAGTGGCCAAGCCCCTGCTGGGCAGGAACAGCTCTCCAGAGAGTAACTGGGAACGCAGAGCTCAGAACATGTTTAGGAGGCTACCTGGTCAGAGGAGCAGGTACACACCTGTGTGTGTGTGCATGTAACCAAACACTCAGCAGGTACCTCGGAAACGAGTTAGAGCTGCAAACCCCAGGGCGGAGAGCAGGTGGACGGCCTGAGGGCAGTGACCTTCCTCAATGTAGGGCTCTATTTAGACCCGACTGACAGCCAGGTCAATGTCATTTTCTAAATGGTGATGATGGGCTGCCCCCGTCGATGAGGCTCTAGGGGTGGCCCTGAGCATTTGTGTTTTTAAAAACCTTCTCTCGAGGGAGCGTCAGCACTGCCAGGGACTGTCGGGTCAGTTGGCACCATGCTGCCATCTGCAGTGAGGGGGGTGGCCCCTGAAGCTGGCCCGGGCTGGAGTGGAGCTTGGCGTGGTCAGGCCTGTGGAGGCCCGGCAGCCGCTGAGTGGGCCCCTCCCTTGCAGACCTTCTCTGGGGGCTACGTGCACGTGCTGAAGGGTGCCCTGTCGGAGGACCTCCTCATCCAGAGCTTCCAGAAGATGGGCTACGTGCCCAGGGATAGCCACCGCCTCATGGTGACCGCCCCACCCCCTGCCTGCCAGCTGCTGCAGGTGGCCCTGGGCTGCTTTGCCCTGCGGCTGGAGTGTGACATTCTGGGTGAGGTGCTGGCCCAGCTGGGCACCAGTGTGCTTCCGGCTGAGGAGCTGCTGCAGGCCAGGCGAGGCAGCGTGGACGTGGCCTCCTGTGTGGCCTGGCTGCAGCAGCGGCTGGCCCTCCCGCCCCAGAGCCCACCGGCTCTGTTCCGGGCCCAGCTGGACCTGTACCGGGGCCTGCAGGAGGACGAGGGCCCGGAAGAGCCCAGCCTGTATGGAGAGCCCTGTCCAGCCCCCAGCTCGCCTCCCTTGGAGCTGGCTTGCCGGCCTCTTCCGTGGGAGCAGAGTGCCAAACTGTGGGGTGTGGGGGCCGAGGCCTGGGAGCCCCTGGCAGAGGCTGCAGTGTCGCAGGCCAGCAGTCCGCCCTATGAGGCTTTGGAAGAGGAGCTGGAGCCTGAGGCCTTCTCCTCCCTCTCGCTGCACCGAGAGCTGCTGAGTCGGCCTGGGGACCTGGCTGCTCCCAAGACCCCTGGGAGCCCTGGGCGGGCCAGCCCCCAGCACATGCACGGGCCCCGCCCTGAGCCCCCTGGATACCAGGCACATAGCTGTCTGGCCCCTGGGGCCCTGCCTGCCCTCAGCTGTGACACGTGTCGCCAGCTGCACGCTGCCCACTGTGCCGCCTTGCGTACCTGCCGTCTGGGCCACATGCTGCGTGCACTGCTTGGAGACACCCAACGGCGCCTGTGGCTGCGGCGGGCACAGGTGGACACCCTGCTCTATGACAGCCCTGGGGCCCGGCCCTAGGCCCAGCCAGGCTCCCCGGCCAAGGGCTTTCCCCTCCGTTTCCGTGGTGCTTCTCTGGGCTTGTCCCTCCTCGGGCCCTGCCCTCAGCGCCCAGGCCCAGGCCCGAACGTGCTGGGTGGAGGAGTCTAGCCTGTGTGTCCATGTCAGGCACCTAACCTGTCCCCATGAAGGTCCCTCAGCCTCCTTGTACCCCTTCCCCACCCCTTATAGGGCCCAGTGATCAGCCTGTAGCTGCTGACCTGCTCCCTGCAGGCTATGATTGGGGACACGCTGTCTCCCTCCAAGTGTCCAGGGGGACCTGGAGGTGACACTGAGCCCCTGGGCTCTGTCAGGTGCATGGCTGCATGGCTGACCTGTCACAGGCTAGCCCTGAAAAGAAGACTGGCTGGAGACGGCCCCACAGGCCCAGGTCCCAGCTGTGCAGGGGAAGCCCGGCCCAGGGATAGAGGGATGACCTGACGGCAAACCCGAGTGAGGAGGCGCCTAAGTTCTGGAGAACGGTGGCAGACTCAGTGTCACTGCACTCTGGGCCCCCACCACCCGGAAACCCCCTGCCCTGCCCGAGGTGCAGGCTTTGCAGGGCGGGGTCACTTCTTACAGGCTGCCCACCAGAGCCCACCCCAGGTCCAATGATAAAAACTGGCCGAACTCCCAAATAGCCACCAAGGCCAAGGCAGGCAGGTGCAGCCCCCTCCTCGCTGGGGCGTTGGGTCCCAGGGACCACTAGCTCAGAATGGATGGGGGATGTGCCTGCCTGGGCCTTTGGGGCAGGTGCCATATCCTGTGCTGCTCTCCTCCCCAGGCACCGTCCCAGTCTGTCCACCCCACCTCCATCCTTCCCAGCACACGTATCACAGGACAGAACCTCAAGTACATTAAAGGACACGGAACTTGCCACATCTGCCAGGAAAGTTTTTATCTCTGAATTCCTGTTAGCCCCAGCCATGTGCCCACCGCCTAGGGCCTCAGTGTGGGGGTGAGGACAGGGCTCAGCCCCCAGCCCAACCAGACCGCTGTGAGTCCTGCCAGCCTTGCCCTCTCCCTGCCCCAGGCAGACCTTGGTACTAAGAGGGCACACGCAGCCAGCAGAAGCCTGCACTTCCCAAGCCTGCACCCACCCACTCATGGGTCCAGTACGGCTTCCTGAGCTTCTACCCAGCATGGCCACCAGATGGCGCCACCACAGCCCAGGTGGGTCCAGCCTCCGGGCCCTCGGAGGTGCACACCCTGCTGTTCTGGGGCAGTGGTGGCGGCAGGAAGCAGTGCGGGGCAGTTCCAGGCGGCTGTCAGGGCCTGCAGCGCTTGCTCTGGCTTTCGCCCGCGGTCGGGGCGGCCCGCTTGTTGCGGTGGTGGGGGAAGGTGGGCATGAGCTCCGGCTCGCAGGCTGCGGGGAGAGGCCGTCAGCAGTGCGCGGGGCCCCTGGGGCCACCCCTGGGCTTCCCTCTGTTCCCCTCCCGTGACCCCGTGGACAGTGTGTGCCCAGAGTGCCAGGTCCTGCCTGTCCAGGGCCCACAGCCCACCTGGATGGGCCTGCGCTGAGCTCACTGCACACCTCAGGAGCGAGGGGGCCTTGTCCTAACACCCCCACCCTGGACCAAAAGGTCATTCGCCAAGAGCCCTGCAGAGCGGAGCCCAAGGGGCCCGGGGGACTCACGCAGGGGCTTCTCCTTGAAGTAGGAGCTCTCCAAGCAGTCCCCGGCCGTCGCCCTGGAGAGGAGGCCCGCCGTTAACATGGCCCTGGGCCCTGCGCAGCAGCCCCGGTTCCGCTTCCCCAACGTCACAAGGGTGGGTGGGAAATAGGGGTCTGGGCCCAGAAACCGATGGGACCCGCAGAATGGGCTCCACGACCCGGCGGGCAGAGGCCACACCTGGGCACCTGGCCCGCCACCCATGTCCCGGGAGGCCCGTCCTGCGGGAGCGCGGCCCTCGGAGGGCGGGGCGGCCGCACCTTTTCTTCGGGTCGTACATGAAGAGGAGGTTGAGCAGGCGCAGGCCGGCCTCCGACAGCCACGGGAACCTGTGCTTCAGGTTGTTGTACGGCTGCCTCCGCAGGCTGTACTGGCTGACTAGCGGCAGCTTGGAGAAGCCCTGCGGGAGCCGGAAGGGAGCTGAAGCGGAGGGAGGGGGCGGAGGGG